TTTTTTTGAGACGGAGTCTTGCTCTGTCGCCCATGCTGGAGTGCAGTGGTGTAGTCTCGGCTCACTGCAAGCCCCGCCTCCCAGGTTCACATCATTTTCCTGCCTCAGCCTCCCGAGTAGCTGGGACTACAGGCGCCAGCCACCCCGTCCAGCTAATTTTTTGTATTTTTAGTAGAGATGGCGTTTCACCATGTTAGCCAGGATGGTCTTGATCTCCTGACCTTGTGATCTGCCCGCCTTGGCCTCCCAAAGTGCTGGGATTACAGGCATGAGCCACTGCAACCGGCCCTACACCTGGCTAATATTTAAAATTTTTTGTAGACATACAGCCTTGCATGTTGCCTAGGCTAGACTTGAACTCCTGGTCTCAAGAGATACTCCTGCCCCTGCCTCACAAAGCACTGGGATTACTGGCATAAGCCACTGTGTCCAGCCACCTTCAGTTTTCTTCTATCTAGTTTTTAATTAAGGAAAAAAAATGTCATATGAGTCCATATCAACATTTGATCTGATTAAATACAAATGCAATCCAGTGAGATACTAAGTCAGTTAAATGTAATTTAACATTAATATATTTCTTTGAGATGCTGTTAGCTTTAAAATATTACATCATAATGCAAAAAAAAAAAATTACATCTTATTGAGTAATTAAAATGGCTTAGCTTTTGACAGGCATGATGGCAGGCACCTGTAATCCCAGCTCCTTGGGGGACTGAGGCAGGAGAATCGCTTGAACCTGGGAGGCAGAAGTTGCAGTGAGCTGAGATCGCACCACTGCTCTCGAGTTTGGGAGACAGAGCAAGACTCTGTCTCAAAAATAAGTAAATACATAAAAATAAATAAAATGGCTTAGCTTTGCTTATCATGTAATTGAAGTATCATGTGAGGACTACCCAGTTACTGCTTGGTAACTTTGAAAGCAAACACATTTTAAGGTTTCAGTGGCCAGGTGTGGTGGCTCATGCCTTGTAATCACAGTGCCTTGAGAAGTCTAGGTGAGAGGATTAAGCCAGGAGCTTAAGACCAGGCTGGGTAACAAAGCGAGACTCCATCTCTACAAAAACTAAAAAAAATTAGAGCCCCGGAATTTGAGGCTGCATTTAGCTATGATCACTGCACTCCAGACTGGGCAACAGAACAGGATTCTGTCTCTAAAAAAAAGTTTAAATAGTTTTTTAAAACCAAAAAAATTAAAATGAGAATTTTTTTAAAAAATGAAGTTTCAGCGATTTTGG